TTGGTAGAAAGACTCATTCATCACATTTTGTTCGTAATAATAACAGTCAGTAATTAAAGTAATAAAAGGCAAGACAACGTAGCTAAGACATGTTAATAGAAGACTCGTTTATTTCTGCTACTTATAAAGCATGTTGATGTTATTCCTACACGCACGGGCAGGCATGACACATTCTACCTTCCTCCTCCCTTTCTTTGTACCAGCTCCTTCCCCTATGTGCCACCCTCCTCCCCTATGTGCCACCTCCTCCCCTATGTGCCACTTCCTCCCCTATGTGCCACCTCCTCCCCTATGTGCCACCTCCTCCCCTATGTGCCACCTCCTCCCCTATGTGCCACCTCCTCCCCTATGTGCCAAGCTCTTTCCCCATATGCTGCCACTTCCTCCCCTATGTGCCACTCCTCCCCTTATGTGCCACCTCCTCCCCTAATGTGCACCCCCTCCTCCCCTATTGTGCCACCTCCTCCCCTATGTGCCACTCCTCCCCTATTGTGCCACCTCCTCCCCTATGTGCCACTCCTCCTCCCCTATGTGCTTACCTCTTCCTATGGCCACCTTCCTCCCCTAAGTGCCACCTTTTCTCTCTCTTTTTCACCTCCCCTCTGGTGTCTCCTCCTTTCTTTTTACCCTCCATCCCTTCGCTGCCTATCTCTCCTCCCCTCTCTTCGTAATCCTCTCGCTGCCTCCTCCTCCTTCTCCGTACCACTTTCTTCCCTCCATGTCTCCTACCTCTTCGTACAACCTCCTCCCCTCCTTGTCTCCTCCTCTCTACCCCCTCCTCCCCTCCGTGTCCTCTCCTCTCCCTCTCTTCGTGCCTTCTCCTTCTCCTCTCTTCGTCGTAGCCACCTCTCCTCCCGTTCTCGTGCCTCCTCCTCCCTCTCCGTACCACTTCTCTTCCCTCCGCTTGCCTCCTCTCTCCCTCTCCGTGCCTCCCTCCTCTCCTTTTAGCCTTCCTCCCTTTGCTTCTTTCATCCTCTCGCGGAGCACGTCCTCCCCCTGTGCGCTCCTCCTACCTCTCCGTTTCCACTCCTTCCCTCCGTGCCTTTCTCCTCCTCCCTCTCCGTATACTCTTCTCCCTCACGTCCTTCTCTCTCTCCCTCTCCGTACCACTCCTCCTCCGCCTTGTTCCTCCCTCTTTCCGTACAACTCCATCCCTCCGTGCTTTCCTTCTACCTCTCTTGCTTTCTCCTCCTCCCTCTCCGTGCCTTCTCCTCCTTCTCCGCTTGCCTTCTCCTCCTCCCTCTCCGCACTACCTCCTCCCCTCGTGCTTCGTCCTCCTCCCTCTCCGTACCACCTCCTCCCTCCGTGTGTCCTCTCTCTCGTACAACCTCCATCCCTCCGCTGCCTTCTCCTCCTCCCTCTCCGTGTCCTCTCCTCCTCCCTCTTCCGTTGCCTTCTCCTCCTCCCTCTCCGTGCCTTCTCCTTCTGCCCTCTCCGTAGACCTCCATCTCTTCTCGTTACCACCTCCCCCTCTCCGTACCACCTTCTTTCTGCCGGCCTTCTTTCCTCCCTCTCCGTACCACCTCCTCCCCCCTGCTGCATGGCCTGCTGCCAGCTTTCTGCTGACTCCCTGCAGGAACAGTCTAGCGGAACACGCGCGTGCTTACCGGTCGGATGAATGCTCCATAGAAATAACCAAAGATGAAAAGTGGGCGGCGTCTATTTTATTCCTCCAATCACGGGGTACGGAGCAATTTCCTCTGCTTTAGACGCATGTTAGATGAACCATCTATATATGTAGTCCTACTAGAATACGTACCTATGAATAGCGCAGGCACGACTGCCACGCGTCTAAGCCATCCAATCAACAACGTTGGCCAACCTTTTTTAGACACGCCTTCGTAAAACGTACTCCACTATATAACGTGCCGACGGCAATTTTCATCCAGCTGCAGCAGATTTAGGGGGTATCACTCACTATTATACCAACCTACTCAGGCCATTCCAGTTTGATTACAAATTTACTTTTGAGCCCGCTGTTTGCAACTAATTAGTGCGTCATAACTGAACAGAGCTTATGACTAACGCGGTACCATTTCAGAATGGTCTGTTTCTACTGTGAAACGGAAAAGATTGTTTAACCACGGCAGCGAAAGGTTAAAAGCAAATGGCATATCAGTTTTTCGATGAATTTAGAAACGCGAACTTCAATGCTAAAATTAGAAAATTAATATATATATATCATATATATAATATATAATATATTAATATATTATTATTAACTTTGGCTTAATCGAACAAGTTATATGCTATCAAATTAAGAAGTCATTCGCGATCAGATTGAAATTTTTATCCTATTCTCTTATATCAACCAACTCTTGCTGTCGGTATCATATCTGTTGATTCGCGCTAGTATATCATATTCTATTACTGTCTTACAGATGCCTCAAAAACGTTGATGGAATAAAGAAACGAAGAGCCAAGGATTAACAGGTGTCTAACAGAATTGGAGTTTCCTTAATTCTTATGCTAGGAAGAACGAATGTGAGTTCATACCTACAATGATCGTCATTATATGCATTCAACTATTACTATTATGCGCAGCGAATACAAAACGGTATTTTTCCATGTCCCTCCGCTTCACCGGTCTCTCTCTGCCGCGCGCGCCTTTCTCTCTCTCTCTCTTTCTCTCTCTCCTCTCTCTCTCCTCTCTCTCTCTCTGCTCTCTCTCTCTCTTTCCTCTCTCTCTTCTGCGCGCTCGCTCTCTCTCTCTCTCTCTCTTCACTCTCTTCTCTCTCTCTTTCTCTCCCCTCTCTCTCTGTCTCTCTTCTCTCGACCTCTCTCTCTCTCTCTCTCTCCCATCTTCGCTCTCTTCTCACTCTCGCTCTCTCTCTCTCTCTCCTCTTCTCTCTCTCTTCATCCATATATATATATATATATTATATATATATATATATATATATATATTATATATATTACACGTAGCTAACGTGGTCATTAACATTCTAATATGGCGCCTTCTCGACTTTTGTGAAGACGGAATCGCCCGACGAAACTAGAGACAAGCTTTGACATCTTGAAATGGCGTCATGCAGATGCGATCTTCTGAAGCTACAGCAGCAGCGCAGCAAGAAGGCAGCAGCAGGAGTACATCGGCGACATGCAGGGAGCTGTACCGACGTGCTTCGTCGGCTCCCGTGCATGACGGAATTACAGCAGGCGGGTTCCTGGCCGCCGCCCACCGCCGGTGTTAAGCGAAGCACTGCCCGGCAACGCATATCTCGATATGTCAAGCCGAGAGGAATTACGCCGGCCCGACGATTGCGGTGTCGCGCTGGACGAAGGATTCTGGTTGATCAAATGGCGGCACTACTCGTGGGCGCGGATACTTTTGTGCGACGTTCCCCAGCAGCTGTATCGAACATACGAGCAAGCCGCGCGATGCGACGGCATTACGCGCAACTACTTAACGATATTAAATTGCCGTTGTTCCTATCACCCTCTCACACGCGATCTTTTCGCGAGTATCGAGCACTTAGTCTAGACATGCCCTAACGCCCTCGGTTTTCCCACCGACGTGCGCAATCGAAACGCATTCCCGAGTCTGCGATCCAGGCGCCATGTCAGCGGAACCTATAATGTGCGAAGCGGGGGCTGTGTGGCGGCCCTGTGTAAGATCGTGAAATTCCGGCTGGACTCAGGTGGCACATAGGGGAGGAGGTGGCACATAGGGGAAGGAGCTGGTACCGAAAGGGAGGAGGAAGGTAGAATGTGTATGCCTGCGTGCGTGTAGGATAAACATCCATGCTTTATAAGTAGCAGAAATAAACGAGTCTTCTATTAACAATGTCTTAGCTACGTTGTCTTGCCTTTTATTACTTTAATTACTGACTGTTATTATTACGAACAAAATGTGATGAATGAGTCTTTCTACCACACAAATTTAGTAAATTAGTGATAGCCAAGATGGTAAATATCGTCACATGACAAGTTTTGATAGTTTCTCTCAGAAAAAAATCTTCCCCCCCCCGAGGCATAAGTTCATATTATCACCACCATCTGATGATCGCATAACAAGCAAGTTACCAAGATGTCAATAGTTTGACACTAAAGATTTGGGGACGTGTTAAACCCAAGTTAACATAGATGTACACAAAGTTTGTGGACGACACTTATACTATAGAACTGTATATGTATTATATACACTATGTATATAATGCAAAATATAAGTAATTCTGTTTAATTTTTATGGTTAAATTTTGACTCATACATAGCCCATAGCAAGCAATTAATGTTAGGAACAGTAATATCAAATCGCCCAGGTTTTTTGGATTTTTAACTAGTTGAGAAACAATCTTATCAGGTAAGAATTTGAGGATATATTTAGTCCCGCTAGTTCTTACTTTTAATGTAAAAAATGACAATTTTTTTTACAAATTTTACCATAGAAAATTCGTGACGTAGTCCATGGTTCATACAGGACTGAAATTTTGTTCAAGGACATTTTATCAGAAATTCAAGGAGATTTTATCAGACATTTTATCGGAATTCATACACAAAACAAAACGTACCTGGATTAATTTAATAACCCCATTCTTAATCACTGCACGTCACCTCTAAAACTTACCTGGATCACATTAATAAACCCTTCTAAACACGGTCACTTCTACAACATACCTTGATTTACTGACTGATTTTAGTGACTTACTGTAATTTGTGATCATCATTTAACTGTCTATCGTGTCTATAGCTTTTTAAGCTCATTTAACGCAATTTTGATTGAGGTTTGCACATTATTGATGGTACAAAATTTCTTTTTATTACAGGCAATAATTCTTTCTAAAAATTCAAGGACATTTTCATGAAATTCAAGGACTTTTCAAGCACAAAATCAACATTTACTAAATTCAAGGACATTTTCATGAAATTCAAGGACTTTTCAAGCACAAAATCAACATTTACTAAATTCAAGTACTTTTCAAGGAGTCCCCTCAAATTCAAGGACTTTTCAAGGACTTGTGCGAACCATGTAGTCAATTTAATAATGACAAATAATTTGTCATTATTAACACCTGATATAAGTAGATGAATTCCAGATTTGTCATTTGGGTGGAACTAATGCAAATACTGACAACCACAGAAACTGTACTCTGTTCAATTAAATGAAAAATATCAAAAATAACAAAATGTTTTTAATTTTTTTTTAATTATTATGGCGAACTTTTATACAGAAATTAGAACTGGATCATCTGGCCCTGAAACAACAAAAACAATGCAATCAGAAAAATGCTTAAGCAATTGACTTGCACACAATAAAACATGGTAAATTTATCATCTGTCAGAAAGGCAATGGCAAATATCTCTAACAGTTCTGCTGTTACCGATAAAGTAATTAACTATTTTACGCTTTCACTAATGGAATAACTGGTGCAAGTCATATGATAACGTTAGACGGTCTGTTTTAAATCAATTAACTACAGCAGTACGAGACCTACTAATATTTAGCAAAAAAATCAACCAAATACATCAGGATGCACATAATGTATGAAGTCAGTTGGGTAAAAATATACATTGAAATAGAAATTGAAATAGAAATAGATGGGAACCGTGAATAATAAACGTTTTCCAAAACAATATCTGGTCTACATATCAATATATACGTATAATAATATGCAATATTAATTAAGTTTCTTACCTTCCTCTTCTTATCACCTCCCAGTTCGAAGTGCTTGCAACGCTTGAGGGCTATCTGCTTCCTGTATTTGCATTCCACACACTCCATTCTCAACACAATCTTCTTTGTGGTTTTAGCCTAAAAGAAAACCATTAACCAAAGTAAGATAATTTTACGTAGCAGACATCACACATTGTTGGTAGTGTATTTTTCATCAGTTCCTCTTTTAGTGCTGTACAATGGTAGTCATGTCATTGTATCTCACCAACAGGGGCGTAGATAGCGGGGGGGGGGTGATGCATCCCCCCCCTTAATGACGTGAAGGGATGCAGGAAAAAAAAGAAATTTATTTTTCGGGGGCTCTTTTTGGCATTTCGGGGGCTAAATCGTCCCGAGCCCCTGTGTATTTTTTTCACTGGGGGGATGGCGTGTACAATCACCCCCACCCCTACTTTCAGGAGGAAAATGGAGGATTCAAAATTTTCTGGGGGAGAACCCGCATACCCCCGCCTGTTTCTTAGCACCCTCCTCAAAAACCTGCATTGGCCACTGTCGAGCGTAACAAATTTAGCACCCCCACTTCAAAAATCATTCTGCGGTGCCTTATTAGCTAACAAAGATTATGATTATGAATATTTGTATGCATATCAAAGTCAAATTTGAGTTCATCTGACGGGGGCGTAGATAGCAGGGGGATGGGGGTATATCCCCCCACACTTTTTGAGGTGGTGGCTTTCATCCCCCCTACTTTCGGGAAGAAAATGGGGAAAAATTTAATATTTTACAGACAATAAATACTGGATATTTATCTACAAATCCGTCATCGCTATTCATACTCTCCTAATGTATTATTACAGAAATGGAACGTGACATATATCTACTGTAACATGGCTGTAACTCGTTCCAAGAATGACATTATTTTACTGAAACTAGACGGTTAATTTTGGATGCATTCCCCATATATGATTTTTTCCCCAAAATCCCCAGTCGAAAAAAATTGCCTAGAATTCACAAAATTGCACTTACAATATCAATTTTTCCCAATTCTCTCAAAACGGCTCTGCCCCTGCACCCTGCCAAGGGCCTTAGGGCGGGCCCCTGGACCCCACCCATTAAAAGGGCTTTGCGCCAAGGCACTCGCTTCATACACATTGCGATGGAAGTAACAGCGAAATCATCCCCCCACAACTGAGGACCTGTCTACGCCACTGCTCACCAATGTTACTGGCATATAGCAACAGCTTTCAGAATTAATTCACTTGCTGTTCACTACCATCAAGAGTACATAATAGGAGAAGAGTATGACCACGTTTTGCATAGTTTTCAACTTGTAAATATTCTATCAATATGCGAATAAATATATTCAAACTTTACCTTGTTTTCATCTATGATTCTCCCTTAATCATATGACACCACCAATTTACCTGAAAATCGTATGTGTTCTTCAAAAAAGTTCTTTGAATGCGACACGGTTTCGCACAGTTTTTACGAATGAACGCATGTTTTCGGCCAAAGTTTGATATGCGGCGGCAGCACCAGGTTGTAACCAAGATACAAGATAGAGACAATAGAAAACTAATCCCACAATAAACTTTGGCCGAAAACATGCGTCCATTTGTGAAAACTGTTTGAAACCGTGTCGTATTCAAAGAACTTTTTTGAAAAACACATACGATTTTCAGGTAAATTGGTGGTGTCATATGATGGGAGAATCATAGACGAAATATTCACATATTGATAGAATATTTACAAGTTGAAAACTATGCAAAACGCCGTTAAAACGGTGTCATACTCTTCTCCTATTATGTACTCTTGCTACCATCCACCTTTAAGCACTCACATATTCATTTCTTAAACGCAAGTTTATGATAACACCAAATACCTTTTTTCGGAACACGACTTTTGTCTGACCACCATAACCAGATTGTTTCCTGTCATATCGTCTTTTACCTGAAAAACCAGATAACCTTGTTTATCTGCCAATGAGCACGAATATCTCACAATAAAAAAGAATATAAATGAATTCCCCCCTCTTGATTACTTATAATCCAATAAAACTATGAAGTGTTTGGAAGACAGGGCTCAATTTTAACAGTCGTCCGGTCGTCTGTGACAACTGGATTTTCTCTCGGGCAACTACAAATTGCTTCCGTGGTTGTCCGGTGTCCAACCTCTATAAAATCAATAACCTGAGCTCTCTATACCAGTGTTGGCGGTACACGTACAGTATTCAGGTATTTGAAATCTGGTATCCCCCCGAAAGATCTGGTATCCCTTTTTTAGATAGTAATTTCAACAATGTTGGTATCCAAAACTTTGAAATAAGCAATAATGACGGTGCGCGCTTCTTCTCGTTCATTGCTCCTGGGCGATCGATCGCTCGCGGGCCACCAGTGAGCGCGCGTTCATTTTACATACGGCCAGGGTTGCACAATACGCTGCAAACGTACACGTCTAGACGCATTGTCTGGCTTGCTTCATACAATGTATAACATCACGTGTATGTACATGTATCGCGCGCACTCGCTCTACGCCCACTTGCTCATTTGTCATTTGTAATTCGCCAGCCAGTTACTATAGAGAACAGTGGCCTCGATAATGTACATGATTAGGCCTTTTGCTTTACAGCACTGAGCATCACGTGAGCAGAGCGCATGCAGCACATGTTTAAATAATATCTGGACAACCAACTCTTGAGGGACAACCATATGCTACTCTCTTGGTTGTTCTCCGGACAACCCAAAAAAAACCTTAAAATTGAGCACTGGAAGGCATTCGTATTTCATACACAGTGTGTCAGTTCTGCGTCTGTTCAGATAGCATGAGTGTGGGGCGCGTGAGTGTACATCACATGAGGAACATGTACTCAAGATTATAAATATTAATCTGCCTTTGCCCAAGATCTTATAGAGGTCAAGCAATGTGTGTACACTGTGCGCATTTTGTATACAGCTGACCCTGGATGTCGGAGCTGGCTGATCACTCGTTTGGTGCATAACCAAAGAATTGGCATGCATACCGTCTAAATATAACACAAAAAACTGGCACTTGGCTGGTGAAAATGACACGCTAAGCAGAGCTGAGAGGGTCTATGTACCCCAGGGTACTGCCAGAACGTACCCTGGTACTACCTAATATGACGGACCGTACCTCGCCTACTCTACTAACGAGTCTAGGGAGTCGCCTACGCCTTCTCCCTAACACTAACCCTAACCCAGGGTTCTCCCCAGGATGAAATTCAAACAGGGGGGGAGTTTTCCCAAACGGGGCGCGCGCGCCCCGTTTGCGCAACGTAGGGAGAACCCTGTAACCCTAACCATATCAAATAGTTACCAGGGTACGTTCCGGCAGTACCCTGGGGGACATAGACCCTATGAGCCTAAGCAGAATGACCATTGCCTACAGTTTGACTAATTAATTACACAGCAAACTAAGTGCCAGTCACAGCATACCTTGGGCATAAAGTGATGCCTTGCCAGTCTTGTACTGTGTCACCTTATGAACGGTGTGCTTTTTGCATTTCTTCCCTTTGCAAAAGGTACGCCTAGTCTTTGGAACGTTCACCTAGAACAGTTAAAAGGCAATTTTACTTTTTAGTGTGTCTATAAACGACAATGTCAAAATTAAATCACACTGACAAGTTGATGAAACGTTAAACGTTACGAACACATTTTGTAATCTAGATAGTTCCGATTAAAACGACTGTTACTTTACGTGTATATGTTGGTTAGGTTACACGTCATATCAAACCGTAATTTTCGAGGAAATGCCATTTTATTCCATACATACAATACTAAGTTACCGTACATGTAGAAACATAATAACAACATTATAGTTTTGCAATGAATATCCGGTAATCAGTGTAATGGTTTACAATATTTAGCAGATGTAATAACAGAGAATATATTTATCTTCGCTGATTCCAAATAGCAATACTTCACATTTTCTAGATATAGCGATTAAGCTCGATTTTTCGACTTCAACGAAACTTAAAATAGTACCATCTTGCTGTTCCTGACCGAAGAGAGGTCCGCACACAAAAATCGCTCACACCTGATTGGTTAAAATCGCACTGCACAGAGGGCATGCCAAAGCGTCAACATGGCTGCTGTTATTCTAGATAACGGTGCTTATACCGCTAAAGTGGGATTTTCAACCGATAACGAGTCAAGGTATCTTGATTTTTTATTAATTTGAGTCTAGAGCTAGCCAGGTATTAATGCAGTAACGTAAGTTGTAAAGCGTTGTTGTAGTACGCTGTACTTAACCTTGTTTCTAGGTTTAGTTTAGCTTTGTCCGAGCCGACGCAGACCCCAGCAAATGAGTAGACCTAATGGCACAGCACTTGGAGCGTTTCAATAAAATATAATGGGATTATGCTAAATAAATACGAAATCTATTCACTACAAACGCTGGCTGCCGCTGCACACTGACACGTTTTTTATAGGAAATTGTCGGCAATAATAGATGAAAGAGAGGGCTAGGCCTAGCTCCAAGAAACGGTATTGCTAGGGTTAGAATACCGAATGTATATTGACGTCAGTCACACAGCCTGGTTGGGTTAGGCTAGGCCCTAGTCTATAGAAACATTAAAGCCACACTATGCGCATCATAACGCTAATTTCTCCAGTACTAGACTAGCAAATACTTCGTGTCATGCTTATGGCAAAATAAACTATAGTTTCTCCCATTTCAGTGCTCGTTTTCTTAAAACCCACAAGAAAGAGGTGCAAAATCTGGTAATCTGGCGCCAACGCTAAATTGTTTGCCAAACAATTTCGCCAAGAATCGGTTAGGTGATGTCACATGTTTTTCTCTTTGCTACACCCGTACCGCTGTACCGCAGCACCGCTCCACGGTTGCTTGGCAGAGCAACGCGAAAGTGTCAACAACATCGGAGAATTTGAACAACATTGGAGGTATTTTCAAATGCCTTTTATAAGACAACGCGCAATGAAATGGGAGGAACTAGAGTTTATTTTGTCATAAGGTAGTGTGATTATGCATGACACGAAGTATTTGCTAGTCTAGTACTGGAGAAATTAGCGTTTGGATGCGCATGTGCAGCTTTAAGACTTTGGTAGTTTTACTTGAATAGATTTCGTATTTATTTAGCATTATATTTTATTGAAACGCTTCAAGTGCCTGTAAGTAATGGGGTCTGCGGCCTTGTCTATCTCAATCACGGAAAGTCCAGTTTGGAGGTGGCACTTATATTTATAAGTAATATATGCGCCCGATATATACAATCTTATTGCGTGGAACTTGCTTTAATCTGAGCTTGAATCATTTAGGCCTCTCTACGTGCATGCACGCTATGATGTCATGGTAGCGGCCACACCATAAGAATATATCAAGTTGTTTACCTAATGGTAAATATAAACATCCAAACAAAATGGTCTGTCTTCATTCACATTTGTCAACCAATGAAAATCACTTCCGGTTACTTCGGCTATTCCCGATGTTCAACAGGTAACATGGTAGTACATCGAAACACCAATTTGCTCAGATTTCAGAGTAAAGTCGAACTTCTTTTCCTTGGCAATATTGCCATAGAGTTGTTTTACCTTGTCAGCATCCATCGTGTACAGAGACGTCAGCATTAAGCTGACAGAGATGTCAGCCTTAATTATTTCTGAGTGAAACCTAAACTACCGGAAGTGAATTTCATTGGACGATCGAAAAATCCGTCCAAGATGGCCAAAAATATCGAAGTTACTCTTACTAGGATGAATTATTGCATGAAAACAAAGTTCTGAAACGGAGATAAAGTCTTCGGAAAGCGATATTGACAAACAGAAGGTCTGTACTTGATATTTTGGGTTGGATATACCCCCGTCACGCTCTCAGTGCTACTCGATTCACCAATCCAATGCCCACAACAAAAATTGCAAATTTTTTACAAGGGTGACTGCAGACGTTAAACCCGCACCCTCAGATTAGCAAAGCGGAGTTATAACGTCTGCGTGCGGACAAAGTTTAGCTCTACCTCTACTACTGCAGATAAGGTATATGTCCCTCTGACCTCTGTTTGACCTGGCTCGTTTAGCTATTTCTGACTAATATATATATATATAATATGTAATATATATATAGGGTTAGGGTTAGGGTTAGTCAGAAATAGCTAAACGAGCCAGGTCAATCAGAGGTCAGGGGGACATAGACCCTACGAGCTCTACTACTACTACTAGTACTAGTCTAAGTCTCAGTACAGTGTGTACAGTGTTACAGTGACAGTGTGACTGTCCGTACTGTCAGTGTCAATGCTTGTTAGTGGAGCCTCAAGTCCAAGAAACGGCCTGGCTATACATCGAAAGACTGTGTATTGACGATGTTATTCTCGCAGCCGAGTCGGGCTAAAGGTCAAGACACACTGCAGTGACAGCGACCGACCGTAACGACAAACGACAAAAGTACACTGCAGGGACAGCGACCGACGTTAGGTCCAAATTCACCCAGCACTCGCCACAGTGGTACACATCATCACATGAGCAAACGGCCAAAACTCCCGCTGCTACTTTTAAATTTAATAGGCTGCAAAAACTCTCTAGGTATAAGGATAAGATAATAAAGTAAAATATACGCAGCAAATTATCATGTACTGTACGTACAACGTACGTACTGTGTCATACAGTGACCGTTGCTTGATACAGCTTGACCGCTTTGGTTAGACTGGTTCGCGGCACCATTGTTTGTGACATGCGGCACGAGTTTAGCGCCAGAGACCAGTCTACGTCTTGGGGGCCGTTGTCAGAAACAAAATTAGTCGCAACATTAGTCTTACCATTAACTTCCACTCGTAAACCGTTGACAGAAACATCGTAAGGTTACGAGAACGAAAAATCGTCGCAAATATCCTCATAACATTACGAGAGCTCAGACCCTCTCGTAACTTTAATATAAAGTTGAAAATAACACATTTACACTACGAATTACAATTATAGTGATATTATATTTTATAATAATAAATAAAATGTGTGTTTTTCTTGAAAAACACGTCAAAATCATTAATTATTTACCGCTAATAAAACAAAACAATATACATTTACAAATGGCGTATGGCATTTGTTCTCTTGTTCTAAAGGTTTTCCACGCTTGCCACGATTCTCGCGTCTCGTGTTACAGTGTGAGAATTTGTCTTGTTGTGCAGAATTAATTCATGACCTCGTCGTTTTTCATCAAATATTATTTATATGTGGTTAGTCATCATAATATGCATAAATTACTGTGATGTACAATAAATGTGTATGAATTTGAATTTTGTGATTGATTCTCATCCAATCAGCAGCCTTGTGATGAAGTTCCTGTTATCGTAAGTTTTCTAATAGCTGCGATGTGTTTCTGTCAACGCTAGTCTCGCAACATTAGCATTAGTCGTAAGTGTTATCGTAGCATTAACTTTAGAATTAACTTTACGATGTTTCTGACAACGGGCCCCTGGCTAGCATTATTGGTTATTTATGACGTAATTGTAATGTCACGTGCCGATGGAAATGGCTGCGATTGGCTATTTGTAAAGTGTCGCGCGCGACTGTTGCTGGAAAATAGAAACGTTCCTAAATATTTTTGTCGTCGAGGTTGTCGCCGGTCGTCGTCGCGTCAGTGTGCAATGGCTCATAGGAAACAATAGTTTCAAATTTTCTGAACAGTTGTTTGTCATTACGGTCGGTCGCTGTCACTGCAGTGTGTCTTGGCCTTAAGCTCTCCCTAGCAGTAGCTGTACATAGTGCAATAATAGCATTGCCATTGGTTGCCACAGCGGCCCGCGGCCATGGTGTTGATAGCCAGGCCCATGCCAGGATCATGGCATGATGAGTCTGTGCTGAGGCAACAACAAGTGCTACTAGTAGTAGTACTGCGAGGCCATTGTGCCTTGTAATTTTTTATAATTTGATGCTACCGTTGAGTAATTATCAAGAGTGACAGATCGACGTAACCATATAGATGTAGATGTAGATGTACTCTACTACGATATAGTCAGTATATAACTTATAAGTCATATTATTTCACAGTTATGAAAGGATATAAACCCATCTTTCTGCCCCCCCTCCTTTGAGTCCCCACTTCCTCTGCCTCCTCACTGCTCACTGCTCAACTCTATTTTGTGTATTAATTCCAGAGTTGTTGCCAACTATAAAGCAAAAGCAAAAAATGAAAGGAAAAGGGCGTTCATAGCAAGCCAGCTGGATGACTGCAAAGATTATTCAGGACTTTACTACCTCCTGCCATTCCAGAAGGTATGATGTTAACATTGTTACACATAAATGGTTAATTATATAATATTATAATTATGAATAATGAAATAAGCTGCAGAAATTAATGCTGAAAAGTGTATATATATGTAGTAACAGTTTTGAGCTGCTCTATGCAGATATACAGCTGCACTACCATTGTCTATACTAATCCACATCTACGTTGGCCAGCTAATAAACAATTATCTTGTGCAGGGTTTCTTGGTGAACTGGGATGTGGAAAGAGAAGTATGGGATTTTATCTTTGGAAAAGACTTATTAAATGTAAGTAAACAAAATCACGGGTTCTTTTATGCGGGTGTTTACTGCACTGTAAAATATAGATACTAAAATTACGATAATCCTATAACATTTCCTGATTATAACATAGCGGACTGCAACATTGTAAAATATAGATCCTAAGAAATGACAATCATATAACATTTCCAATAAATAGAACTCAAATCAAATGTATACCTAAAAATATAATGTCTATGTGTTAAATGCAATGTTAAATAGATGAGTTTTGACTAGGCGTTTAAAAGATTCCAGCGACTTTTCACATCGAATATGACTAGGTAGCTTATTCCATAATTTTTTGGCAATACTAGTAATAATCATAACGTTACAATTGATGAAATTTTACTTTGCATGTGAGATAAACAAAAATTCAATATATATATATGATAAACAGAAATATCATGACATTTCATCAAAGATGGTATCAAGAAAAATAGATTGTGACCAAATTAAGTGTCTCAAATTTGTTTGATAACAAATTTTATGTGAAACCTCTTTACGTGAAAATTAAGAACCTCTTTAAGAACTTCTTCATGCTGATTTCTCACTATGTACCATATATATAAGAACCACTTCACCCTGAAACAGAAAATCACGGGTTCTTTTATGCGGGTGTTTACTGTGTTACAGTCCGCTGTTTTATAATCAGCCTTTGTAATGCGCACGTGAACATATTTGCATGTAACGTGCGCAATATAAATAAATAAATATTATATTAGTAGTTTTAATAACCAATGTATTAATGAAATGATTGTTGTACCTCTAGGTAAGTTTCAAAGATACAGGTATGGTCATCACAGAGCCATACTTCAACTTCGGGTCAATTCAAGAGACAATGAATGAAATCTTTTTTGAAGAGTACAATTTCAAGTCACTGCTCAGGACCAATGGTGTGTAGACTGGAGCCATAATTACTTCTCATGGGTGATATAATGTACATTATTATGAAAATTAATTTGTTAGATAATTGATATTTCAAACCATTAATCTTTCAGCCGGAACATTGAGTGCCTTTAAAAATCGACAAGAAGATTTAAAGCGACTTTGTTGTCTTGTGGTTGACTCTGGCTATTCTTTTACACATGTGGCACCTTACTGTGGTGGCAAAAAGATTGTCAAAGCTGTATATAGGTAGGTGAAATAGTAATTGTACTGTATGTGAAAACATCTGTCATGGTATTTAGAGACCAGAGTCATATGTTGCTATGTTTTCGGGGTATAACTGTCAATCTGTCGCATTGTAGTTTGTAACTTATATGGAGTTATAACAAGGTGTATATCTACCTAGAATGGTTTTAAAAACTATGGGAATAGATGGCAAATCCTAGTATATAAAGTTGCAGAGCAATAAATATGCTGGTAGCAATATATTCAGTACAGATTCATTGTACAATGTTTCCTTTGCTTTTGCCACTGCTAAAACCACCAACAACAACACCAGCACCAACTTGTTCACTACATAACTATCAGTACAATAATATATATATATGATCTAATAACAATATTATTATATGCAGAATTGAGGTTGGCGGCAAGATGCTGACAAATCATCTGAAAGAAATGATCTCTTATCGGTAATCCATAATTAAAGAATATTTGTATATTAATTATATTTACTTAATTATTGGTCTTAATTTACATGTAATTACGTAGATTATTTTAACAATATATAGGAGTCAAACTGAAATGTAATCATTTAGTTCATTTACTATCAATAATAAATACTTGAATGGTCCTACCTGTTTTCCTTATAATTTTTATTATATTATTTAATCAAATATCCCGTTTTTCAGTTGTGAAGTTACATGTATATCCCATATCATTCACTTCTTTCAGACAACTACATGTGATGGATGAAACATATGTGATGAATCAGGTGAAAGAAGATGTATGCTATGCCAGTCTAGAGCTCTATAAGGACATGGAAATTGCTAGGTAGTACTTTTGATGTGCGTGTACATTGGTGAAAAGTACGTGACAGTAATAAAAAAACACTTTAGACCAAGTATATCAAAAATTGCTTAAACAAAAGCTTGAAATAATTAAAGATATCACAACTCGCATTCTTTATTATGTGACTTAATGAAAATGTGGCAATGCATGTGAATATTCATGTATACAGCTAAAATTATTCATGGTCTGTGCAACATCTAGTAAACATTATCTCACAAAATGGAATATAACCAATTGTATTTGGGGTATTAGGAAGAAAGGCAAGGCAAACACGAATATGAGAGACTACGTGCTACCAGACTATGCCCACATAAAGAGAGGCTATACAAAACCAGCAGACGATGAGAGCAAAATGGAAGGTCATGAGCAGGTGGGTAAACTCTCATACCATGTTAGGATACTAGTATTGTTGTATGGTAATGCTGTATTAATTGGCAATAATACATCATTACTGTCTTTTAAGTACATCATCTGCACACTAAATTTTGGTTCCTTGCCAATTAATGAAATCAAAGTAGCTAGCGGCTGGTGATCTATTGTTGTGTGTATTTACCTTTATTATTGCTAGTTCTATGGTTTAAAGACAAGTTGTCCTGACTCTCGCTCTGGTTTCTTTGTAAAAGTGACAGGAAATTATCTCACCAGTAGGTGGCGCAACATGCCAATTAGCAAGTGCAAAAGAGAACACCCTAGCTTGAATATTGAACTATTCTTTAGGAGCAAAGTAATTATCAACTCCATACGGTAATTTTTTTTAAATGTTTTCATAGATACTAAGAATGAATAATGAGAGATTTACCATTCCGGAGATTCTGTTTCACCCATCAGACATTGGTATCCACCAGATGGGTATTCCTGAACTGATTGTGCAATCTATACAGCAATGCCCTGAAGGTATTATTGTTGTTACATTATTATTGTCAATTAAATTGTTTCTAATAAAAAGTGGGTGGTGCTAACTATAAACTAGCAACAATGCCTAGAATGTAATATTATATGTAGAAAATGTGCGTATATAAAAGTTACCTGTAATTAATAGAACGTTTTGAGGAGATTACCAGTACGTCAATACATCATCTGTAATGTAGCTTTGGCGTAATCCTGATTTCCTGTATTATCCACAATAAGAACGATAGACATCATTTGTGTATTATTTAACCATAGAGCAGGTTGTGTTTTAATATTTTATCATGTTAGTCATCCTTACCTAAAATCACATTGCTTAAAATTTCAGAGATGCAACCACACTTGTATATGAATATAGTTCTGACTGGAGGCAACATGCTTTTCCCTGGTATACAGGAAAGAGTGTGAGTATACATAGTTATATAACACAAGTGTTTTATACTAGACTCTAGGATTTTACTGCATACAACTGTACTTACTGTATAACAAATCGTCTATACCCACACGTACTTGTTACCAGATACCTAACACCCGCGACCGTGCTGCCACCCTGAAAAAGTTGCGCATTTCCCAATATATTTTGCACGTTACAGACCGAGGGCTAATCACAAAGGTGCAATTATATTTATACCTAAATGCTATTTAACCGAACGATGTTCATTTTAGGACAAATTTATCCATAATATAACTGAAACTATATGTCGTTTATAAGATATTACAATCCTTTTGCTTTTAAATTAATAAATAAGAAACACCCTCGGTCTGTAGCCCTTGGCTGAAGTGATTTTGCGCAACTTTTCAGATCGTGTGCTTTGAGTGGCGCCACCGTCGTTGTAATCAAACTGTAGTCGTTAGTTTTAAAACATTAAAAAAAATATTTCTAATGGTGATTGAACCATGAAACTTTTTATGTAGCGTAATTTTAACCTAAATTAACTGAAAATAACCCTAGAACATTGGTTCCCAACCTTTTAGACTCCCCGTACCCCTAATTTGTTTACGCTATCTCCTGGTACCCCTTCGCCCACCATAAGCAAAATGAAGAACCAACACTGATGTATTGTCATGAATATTTTGACATCATGTTTATGTTTTATTAATGCAGTCGCACGGCGTATTTTTCCAATCAAGCCGATGTCGATAGAGATGCCTGAATCACCCGCTGATTATTATATAGCACTACTTTTTTTAAATTGGCTAAGAGGCTTCCCAGGTACCCCCTGTGCCACCACCACCTGGCCCTGTGCCTGTGGGTACCAGGGCCCTAGAACCTAGAGTAAAGGATCCCTTTAATAAATTTGTGTCAAATCATTAGTTATAATTGGGATAGTTGTCGTTAGGGAGTTGTGATACTAAAATTTAAATACACTGCCTAGTTTTTAGCTCACCTGACGTATTCAGATGCAGCTTGTAGAATCGCATGATTGTCCGTCCGTCCATGCGTCCGGCCGTGCGTCCGTCAACAGTTGGGCACAAATCTTAACCGCTCGACGTACGGTCACAATATTCGGGACGTCGGGGGGATCATGAAAAGGACTCGGGATGACAAATTTGGGGGTCAATGGTCAAAGGTCAAGATGTGAAAACGGAGGGGGAATATTTCCCCCTTAACTTAAGGTATAGGAGGAAATACGGAATTGCGGCACAAATCTTAACGGCTCGACCTATGCTCTTAATATTCGGTGTATAGGGTGATAGTATGGGTGGCAGGTAACCCATCACCAGTGCGAAATTGGAGGTCACAGGTCAAAGGACAGTGGGGGAAAGGTCAGATATCAGACATTTTCTGAGGACATGGCCTAATGACAGAGTGAAAAACTTGTTTGTTCAGCGCTGACTCTACTAGCCATTTTTATCACTTTATTGAAAGGACCATGAAATGTGCTTTCCACTGACGTGCGAAGAGTAAGTGTCTGATAACCTTTTGACCCTCAAGAGGAGGGTTAAACATAGATTCCTGAACTGCCTGAATGATGTCAGCATTCTCATATTCATGGCACATCCATAATCTAGAAAGCCAGTCAGCCTGGATAGCCCAACGGGTACAGCACAGGATTACGGCTCAAAGGTCCTTGGATCGAATCCCATCAGATTTTTTATTATTTACTTGTTTTTGTGTATTTTTCTATCTTTATCCATTTAACTATTTTTTTCCAATTAACGCAAATATTTACATTATTTATTTACGACAATTTAATAACAAATAATTTTTACAACAATAATTTATTATTATTTTTTAATAGGGTTAGGGTTAGGGTCACAATGCACCATAAAACAGGAGTTTCATGCACGCGATTTGTATCAACCAATAGGATTTGGGAGGTATGCAGAATGCAGAAGGTTGCTGAAATGATGTGTACGCAACTGCGTATCTGCATATCTGCGCCTAACATAGGTGTCACTACGCATGACTTAAATGTTACGTTTATAACCGTAGCAACAGACCTCAGATGAGCCCAGACACTCTGCAGCTTTTGTTAATTTTATTAGTGAATGATAATTAGTGCTATTTCGCTTCAGGTATAAGGAAGTAAGAGCACTTGCTCCGGATTACTACAAAGTAAATGTGCACTGTCCTGAAAAGTAAGTTACACACAGGTTTTTTGTATTCTCCAAAAGAATATTAATTGGTTTATTACCAATTAATGGAAAAAATGTAAAAAAAAATTAAAAGCAGTAGGATAGATCACGAAGTAATACATGAAATGCATTAGAGATTTTACGCATTAACTGTAACATTTATAACTCTGTATTACAGCTATGAACTGAATGGTTTAGGTAACAGCCTTGGTTAACAAGTATATAAAAGACTTGGAGCTTTAAGGTGAACCTACTGTTCCCTAACGACCAGTGAGCGAGTCGCAATAATTAATATTAATTATTACACACACATTTTTCAGTGCCATTACGTACGCATGGACGGGTGGCAAGGCACTGGTCGGAGAGCAAAACACTTTCAAAAAGATGTCTGTCACCAGGGAACAGTATGAGGAGCATGGTCAAAACATTTGTATCGAAACGTTTGACGTGTAACGCGATGTAGCAAGCTGGCATAGTCTACTATTAGTAGTTGTCCAGTCGTATGCAGCAAGAGGAAGGATGGGTTTCGTTCCTGCGATGTGAAACAACCCGTTGGATGTCATCTCATGTGTCTATTGGAGATCTCCAAGTTCTCACTAAGGGTGAAGGGCAGAAGGCTGACAACTGCTCTAACTACGTGTGCCTTCTGGTTTTCTGAGTGAACACAGAAGTCTCGAGAAAAACGTCCTTGCTGCCATTATGCATGTCGTTTTTGTTTGTGCCGTCATCCGGTGCGTTTTCCTGCATCAAATCGCATTGCTCAATGTGTGTATCATGTTTACACATGCCAAGTACTCAGTAAGTGAAACAACTAAGTATAGGATCTGCTGCAATGCATAAATGACTAGATAATCATATATGACCAATTGTTATGTTACCCATTGTATATATTGTATGCTTTCGGTCTTTCCAATGTGACTGTACCCAACGTTTTTACAACTGTCTCATTTACAGCAGATTGTATATTCAAAGTAGGTATATATAATGTATATAAATAGATGAATACTTTTAATACTTATGTACTCTTACATGTACTCTCTTGTGGTTTTGAATAATAGGGTCTCTAGTGATTACGTAAATAAATAGGTCGGTCCAGCCACAGCATTACACATTTATTCTTGTGGACATTGAATGGACATTCGTCTTTATCACACTCCTCTGGTGGAAACAGCTTCTATGACAAAAGTAAAGCCAAACAAATGAGTGCCTCCTCCCCAATACCAAATTGGTTTCCTAATATTTTTGTTCCCATGCATAGGATGTTTAAGAGGAAAAGATACATTCCAAAGCCCAGAAAGAACTAGCGATTGCTCACCAGATAGAAAATAAATTTTCATGTTCACTTGTGTAAGAATCCATTTATTTAGTCGCATTCACATATCTTAGTCCTAACCGCACTGCAGCACAAGAAGTGAAAGGTGTTACATGTGTGTCTAAGTAGTTAACTTGTTTATTTGGTGGTCGACCAAAATCTATACATGTCTTTAAACCTTGTGACCAATAAGTCATTTTGTGGGTAAAATAAGGCTTTTTCTACAATTATACATAACATCAAGAGCATATAAAGAAAGAGAGTGTACAACGGTAAAATGCTGAAACCATGTTGCAGTATTAGTCGAATTAATAAACTTTCCCCGTTTTATTTTGACGTTATATCTCAGCGTAGGAGCATCGTAGGGACAAGCGGTTTATTTTATATGAACAAGGTAGGACAGCTAATCAATAATACTGCAAAGAATTGTCAAAATAACACGGGGAAAGTTTACTAATTCGACTAATACTGCAACATGGTTTCAGCATTTTACCGTTGTACGCTCTCCTTCTTTATATGCTCTTGATAACATGAACAGTGTGTACAGTATACCTGAGAACTCCTAATACCACTATATTTGAATAAATACACACGTACTAATTTATGAAACATTGAAATTCATTGGTCTGACTTATTTAAAATTATATTACTTTACAGAAACCATATAACCAAAGATATTAATGTATAGTTATTATTGAATATTGTCTACCTTGATTAATAGTTTATTTCCCATTAAAACCTAGACCATCAATCGATCACAAAGTGTAAAGCCAGACCTGAAGGAAATTATTAAAAACTTTCTATTTTCATATACATCACAACAGATCTCTAGATGTCCTAAATTGCATCCTCATGATTTTAGATAGAGATGGTTTCAACAAACAAACGACAGATGTGTTACTTTATGCCACCCGTCGTCAATCAACTAGAAAATCGACGACCTCTGCGAGTTCTCGATCTTTCGCCTGCGCGTGAGCCCACCTTGCCTCAGCTACTTCCGGTGTTGCTCGCCACTTATTGTGGTAGATGCGCTTCTTGCAGTCAGCATTTGGACATTGCTTCCCTCCTAAAGTATCAAATCCAAAGCAGCACTAAGCATCGTGGTTGTTGTGTTGGTTCCCACAGTGATGGTTCACTCAGACAAATGACAGCGTATCGGTCAGCATCTACTATCTTGGCGTCCTGAGGTCTCCGTTTCTTCCCTGATGCATTCAACCTCCCACTCTATCTGTCTCTAACATTTATCATCTCACCCTTATTCCAGTCACCTTGCCCCCCCACACACACACACGTCTATACTCATACTTTTTTCTGCAATCATTTTTTCCACCTCCTGCAATCACCACCCACTTACGTATCATTCCACCCAGCAACACTCCCTCACACTTTACATGATTTACCTTGAAATGGAGGAATTTTCATATAGGCATCCATACATCCATAGTGAAAGAGATGTCCACAGTAAACTTTCTCGGCATAGTTGTATTCGAGTTCCCCTTTCTCTACGTTCTGCAACAAATTGGTGTAACATCAAACAAATGATGTTTCAAACCATTTTTCTATTGGACCTACTACCAGATAGATGGTCTCGCTGATTTTCAAGAACACCTGACGTAACGATTCAACACCATATCCAGCAGAACTTCGAAGCATTTTCCTCATCAAACCAAACAAGAAAGCTTCAGAAGTCAGAATACCCTGTTAGCTTTTACTAAAAGTGAATACAATAATAACAGGGTGGCAGCTGCTGGCAGTGCGGCTAGCGGTGTTATTACACACGAACACTTCTTAATTTCTAGTCATAACACAATAAATCTATATTCCTGTGGCTGCCAAACTCTGCTCACTATCAGCTCGTATCTCTATAACTGGCTACAGGCCTAATAGGCAAATTCTTTCCCTTCATTCGTTCATTCTTATTCTAGTCTATAGCAATGTCACGGCATTTGTGATGATGTAGGTAATTTGAGCTCAACAGAATAGACACATCAAAAATGATACAAAGGCAGCATATGCCATGGAGTAAGTACTAAATTATTAAAACCACCTAATCGATCAATCTCACCCATACCTTTGGATCATCTGGAAAGCAGGCTTTTTTGCAGAGAGCACAAACTTGCGTGGCACAATATTTGACACAATCATTGATGAGATACTTGGTAACAGGAAGCAGAGACTTCTGAGGCACAAAAGGAGGGTCCCTGCAAAGCACCATCAACATTATCTAAGAACCATTTCAGTGCCTGACTACCATCACTCTATTTCAAGATCTTGAAATTACATGCATTTTATATTGCAATACACCAATCTATAAGTACTACTGATCATGCATGAAGAACAAGTGTATTTGTAGCTTCGCTTCAGGTTTGCAATTTTACTTTTTTAAATAGTATACGGACTAGTTCAATAGATTTAAAAAGCAATAATCCAAACTTACTTCGGCCTTTTCTTGATTGGAGGTTCCACACAGCGTCGGGCAATCTCAATAGCATTTCCCATAAATATCCTATTGAACAGCTTTGGAAAGTTTGAGCCTCTTAATTCCACCCTATAGATTTCAAACATATATGATCTTACATGTCATATTACATCTGCACCAAGTTTACTCATTTACAGATATTCATAAGGTGACAATACAATTAAGCATCTATTTTATTAGCTCATCTGACATAGTCAGATGCAGCTTGTAGAATCGCATGATTGTCCGTCCGTCCGTCCGTCTGTCAACAGTTGGGCACAAATCTTAACCGCTCGACGTACGGTTGACGATCCCCCCCAATGTGCCGAATATCGTAAAAACGAGTTGGGATGTCGAAGCTGGGGGTCAAAGGTCAAAGGTCAAGAGGTGTAAAAGAAGGGGGAACATTCACTCCTTAACTTAAGGTATAGGGAGGAAATGCAGAATTGCGGCACAAATCTAAACGGCTCAACCTAGGCCACAACCATACACAACCTGCCCACCCTCAAAATACATAGTTCCCGCGCTGACTGGCTGAGTAAGTTGTCGCCGAGCATTGCGTAATGGCTGATGCATATAGCCCAGCGGCAACCGTACACGGGCTATAGTTACTAGACGGCTAAACAAATCAACTAAGATACAATAATTAAGCGCCAACAAGAGTAGGGTTTACAACGCGCAGCCTATTACTTTTCTTTGGAGGAGCCCCTGAGTGATTGCATCTGCAGGGCGGTTTTAATGATGCGTTTTGCGAGACTACAACTTGCCAAAACTGGTTTATTCTAACACGAACCTTTCCTGCTATCCTCGGACTTACTATGTTATGCAGCAATATCTTGTATTAAACTAATTATAACCTGTTACAAAATTTCGAAGTGAACGAGCGCGATATTTCGAGCGGCCATTTCTGTTGACCTGTAAGCGTTCAGAATTCGCAAATGCGCATAGCGTTCATAGTTGCAAGAATAGCCTATAACCTGCTAGCAAGAAATAGGCTTGTGTTGTAACCCTGCTCTGTATTGGGTTACATTATTGTATCTAACAAATCACAATCAGTACATACATGATACAAATTGCATGTACGATACAATAATCATACTAATTGTAACCCAGCATAGGAGTGGCACTCTGTTGGTTACATTTATTGTAATCTAAGCATTCTAAGCATAGTATTGAGGCTCATGATAACAACCATCGTATCGAAGCCTAACAAATATCCTATCTACGTCAGCTTAAAGGGATCGTTTACTCTAGGTTCTAGGGTTATTTTCAGTTAATTTAGGTTGAAAATTACGCTACATAAAAAGATTTTCATGGTTCAGATCACACATTAGAAATGATTTTTTTAAAATGTTTTTAAAAGCTAAACGACTACAGTTTTGATTACAACGACGTGGCCGCGCACACTCAAATCAGCGATCTGAATAGTTGCCGCAAAATCCTTTCAGCAAGGACGTACAGACCTGAGGGTTTTCTTATGTTATTTGAATTTAAAAGGAAAAGGATTGTAAGTAATCTTATAAAACGACATATAGTTTCAGTATATAATATGGATAAATTTGCCCTAAAATGGAATATCGTTCGGATTAAATAGCATTTAGTATAAATATAATTGCATCTTTGTGATCTAGCCCTCGGTCTAGTAAACGTGCCAAAATCATTGTAAAAAATACGCAACCTTTTTCGGGGTGGGCAGGCATGTCGCGGGTGTCATGGCGCGCAGTTCAAATTTCGTGAGCGTTGATGTTTAATTAATTATAACAATTAAATTAGGTTCTGGTAACAAATACGTTGAGGTATAGACGATGTTGTTTACAGTAAGTACAAGTTGTATGCAGTAAAATCCTAGAGTCTACGATCCCTCTAAGGCAAGATTAAGATTCAAGAAGCGTAGTAATTAATATACTATATACTAGTATTGCATGCTTATCAACAGTTATCATACATATCTTTGGTAAGATTTACCACTTGTATCGATACGATAACAGTTACAGACATGCCTTAATGTTGAACGTTTGAGAAGCTTATAGCTTATAGAGTTTTAATGCTATAGCTTATAGCTATATACCTTGATTTACTTTTGAGATATAGTGTTGTATCTACTCAATCGATATCAAATGAAAGGTTGGAAATTTGTCACCATTTTGGTTGTCCTGTGATTCAGTATCCTGTCTATATTTATTTTCATCATTCATGTGATTTCATTTACATCCACATAATAGCATGTAAAAATTTCATTGTGTGGATACGGATTGTCCAATTTGAAAACCAATGTTATCTGAAATAAGTCTACAATTAGCCATGATATACAGATTGCTCATTTGACAACTCAAATGTTGATTAACAATATTAATTTTACTCCATAGGCCGCAAAATGTTGGGCCTTTCAATCTTGGGTTTAACCCTATAGTCTCAAGTCCAAAAATTTTCTAGCTTTACAATATCAGAAATTCCGCTTTCTCGCGCTTTGTAAATTTGGCAAGCTACTTTTCAAAAAAACTTTAAGGGCATACTATTAACTATTTACTTGCCTCATTGTAGGCGGGCACCTGGCTCGCGAATGTCCGCATTGAATACTGTGTCGGCATTTTTAGAGGCGGGCCGCGGCAGAGGCTTGTGCGGACATGACATAAGTTTCTGTTCTGTTTCGGTTTGTAGTACGTTGGCAGTATGCCAAAATTGACATCGAGAGCGAACGGAACGGGAAGAGGGCTAATTATTTTAGAAATTGATGTGGCTGAGCTTAGACGGTAAATGTTTATTCAAGTGTGAAAATTTGAACTGGCATTGCAGTAGCGCGAATTGTCATAGAATTTTTCCGGATCAGGTGATGCAATCGGATTGTATGATGCAGATGGAAGATCGATTATAGGCGCTATCTACAATGGCGTTATTATGGTGAAATATTTAATATCGTGAGTTTATTATTCTTTATTAAGATGAATTTAAAGCTGATTTTTCCTTCTTATTCTTTTTTTTCAGAAGTTTTATTTAATTAAATTTCGTTTTTTTGTCAATTTTTATTGGAGGTTTTTTTTCCTTTTTTCCTGGCAAAACTGGCGTTTTCCGGCGATTACACGTGCACATTCGCGCGATTCTTGCGGATATTCCGCAACGTGGAGGACTTTGGACTTTTTACCGATAGTTCTATGAATTTGAATTCTATTGAGTGGCAGAGCTACCCAACCTTCGCATTTTGGCGGAGAAATGTTTTGCTTTCTTTATTCATTTCGCGCCCACGTTTTTCCCCTTCTTATTTTGCGCGGCAAACAGGCAAATTTCCGTGGATAGCATTTATTTAACAAGACACATAGCACACTACAGTAAAAATTAAGAAGTTGGTATAACGGATCAGAAAGTGCTCCTACAAGCCGTAATGTTTATTTGCTTGTTTTAAGGCATACAGAGGACTTTGATTTTTTAATACTTAAAAAAAATGCAAAAAAACTCAAGAGCTCGCGGGGCTTTGCCCACTGACCGCCACCCATTAGTTCTTGCGCTACGCGATCGACGAACATTGTTGCCGCCCAACATCTTTTCCTTTGGCCCTCAGCTTGCCCCCCCCCCGAGCTTTTAACAAATCCTGGTGCCGCCACTGCGCCTGACTTGTCTTGTTGTCATTCTAGAAAGTTGTGTATATCAAAAAATGCTGAGCCTTGTCCATCAGCGCAGAGATTGTTAAACAGTATGTAAACGTTTTAGTATCCAACATTCCTTGAAAATGGACAAGGCCAATTATGCGCTAATATTCAATATAAACATATATAAAATATTAGTTGCTCAATCTGTAAGAAAACATTATTTTTAATTTCAGCTGATGATATGCAATTT